TGCTACTGCTGCTGCTACCGCTGCTATTGCTACTGCTACTGCTGCTGCTATTATTGCTACTGCTACTGCTACTGCTGCCTAGTATTCCTGCTTCTACTCCTACATCATTGCAGTTCCTGTGCTGTTAGGTTCTTTAAAAGAAAACGGGAAAGAGACATCATACTTACTCCTATGAGCAGGCTAACCACTTTTCCTTCCTCTAGTTGGTTCCCGTACCAGTTTCCCCCTGAAACACAACGCGTCATTTGGTTTACAACCGGATTGTCATTTGCTGCTGGACGAAAAGGGAGCCGAACAGTTAAACTCTTCATGGTTAGGATTCGAGCCCCGTCTAAATCTTTCGCGAGGCGCAGCGCAAGTGGGCTGTTGTGGTGGTCATGGCGTTGTGCTGTTGCACTTGTACTTAGGGGTACTGGTACCTGTTGTATTGGTAGTGGTGCTGTTGAATGTGGGGTTATTGTAGTGGTGATGGCAATCTTGTACCTGTGATTACAGGTACAGGTTTAGGATTGATTGTTGTACCAGGTGATTACAGTTGTGGTGGTGGTGTTGTGTCTGTGATTGTTTTTGTGCTGTTGTGTCTGCGATTGTTGGGATTATGGCACTGCTACTGATGCTTAATTGTGCATGCTATGCTGTTACGATTTTGATATGCTAGGGTTAATGATATTGCTGTTCCTTCTAAGTTCCTGCTGTTGCTAGGTGGGCTGTGACCGTTAGGTTGCTGCTGTTGCTAGGTTGTTGCTGTTGCTAGGCTGGCTGTTGCTATAATTATTGCACCTGTTGGCATCTATTTATCATCCTGGTGCTTAATATATTGTTTTCTATGCTTCTTCGTCTTCTATGCTGATAGTAGTGTTACTTTGCTTCTTTTGCCACGTCTATGCTGCTCCTATTTATTTTATGGTATGGTTACTCCCCATTTTCTTGCTTCTGCAAGCTTCTTTTCTGCCACTGTTGCTTGCTGTTTCTGCTACAGTGTGTGTGTGTGTGTGTGTGTGTGTGTGTGTGTGTGTGTGTGTGTGACGCACATGTTTGACCATGTGTGTACTCACCTAGTTGTACTCACCGAGTGGTGCTTGCAGGGGTTGAGCTTCGGCTCTTTGCTCCCACCTCTCAATCGTCAATCTACTGGTGAATAGATTCCTGAACTTCTCGACCTCTATCATATTTACATTTGAAGCTGTGTATGGAGTCTGCCTCCACCATATCACTGTGTGTGTGTGTGTGTGTGTGTGTGTGTGTGTGTGTGTGTGTGTGTGTGTGTGTGTGTGTGTGTGTGTGTGTGTGTGTGTGTGTGTGTTATATACATGGTTGTTAACGTGTGTACGTGTGTGGTGTGCGAGGGAGGTATTTGCCTATATATTCTCACTCTGCAGGACGAGCTTCAGCTCACGGGCCCAGACCTTCTAGTCACCTGCTGCCATTTGCAACGTCCCTCTTGGTTGCACGGGTCTGGGAACCCTTGGCCTGTTTCCCGTCCCGGGAGAAGCCACTAGAGATGGTAACTCTCAGGTAAATTCAGGCAATTTATCATGAATTCTCTTGAAACCATGAATAGACTTAACTTAATTATCTTTCCATTTAGCTCATTCCACTTGCTCACTATTCTTAACCTGAATTTCCATTTTCGTATCATGCCCTCTCACCCTGTGGCCGTTCGTGCTGTACATTTCGATTCCGTTCCCTCTATCAATGTCTCTACGAATCTTTTATGCCGTAATCATGTCACATTCTGTATGCATGTACGTGTGTGCACTTCCAAGTATTTTGTTTCACATGCTCAAACTTAAGTGTGAGTTTATATTCACCTCTCAAACTGATATCTTAATAGCGTGCTTGAGTTGGGTGTAATTATGACCGTAAATGTCTTTGGACTGAAATAAAGATGAATTCAATCTTGAGAAAGTATATTGTTATTAAAGAAATCATAATCTAAAATCTAAAATCAAGAGTTTTTTCAACCAAAAACCTACGTATAATTACTAATACACCATTTGTGTTGGTGTATACAGGTAGACGATATTGAACCCCTAGCAAGCACCTAGCACACAGCAAATGTATTTTTTTTCTTAAATTTTGCCCCGAGGGGCGAGTTTATTAGGCAGCGCCACTCATCCTATGAGTGGACATACCGCCATAGCAGCATGTACAACACTCCCAAATAGGAAGAAAACCCGCTGGGTTGTTCATCCTGTCACTTGTACCCAGACACAGCTGTGACTTGCCCCTGTGGCCCAATGGATAAGGCATTGGCCTCCTAAGCAAGTGTAAGTCACCCCTAGCAATCACTATTAACGAATAATTAACCCGTGAGATAAGAGTAGATAACACAGCTAGGTGTGTTGACATTTAGAAGAGGGCTCACATCATCATCAGAGAAGCTCAGGGCCCCCCAAGAAAAAGTTGTGTGTGAACACTACCGAAATTTTAATGTAATCCAAGTTCTCCAAGGAACCCCCCTTCAGTACCTCAAAACAGGTTAAAGGTTCTAGGATGATATTCAGCGAGTCTGGAAAACCTTAGTGAATTCAGCATGAAGCTCATTGGCCCGTGAAACAAGCATAATTCATCTAGGATCAACTTTAATGCAGGTGGAAAAGATACTCTACTAGATTAACTTGAATGTATTAGCAGGAGGGTAGAAATAGACTAAGCTATTCAATCCCTTTGAGATGTAGTTATTTCTTGTCTCAATAAACATACTTGAACTTGAATGTATTAGCTTAATTCCTTATACAGTTCATCCATCCACGTCATTCAACTCTTCAATCCTCAACGAACAGCCCTTAACTCTAGACTCCAGTGTCTCCTTCCATAATCAACCCTAAACTCCATTGTCTCTTCTAGAACTACCACCCACCGGGCCTGTGAGCCGCTCCAAGCAACAGCCTGTTGGACCAAGCTCTCACAAGTCAAGGGGAAGTAGAAGAACTCCCAGAACCCCATCAACCAGGTACCCACCCCCAACTCATTCACCCTCTCTCGTTCTCCTTGTCTCCTCGTCGTTCTCTTCCTCCACCTGTTCCTCCACCTCGTTCTCCAAGCCCCACCAGCACACTATCCTGCCCCTTCACCGGAAGACATCACATGGCCATCCTCATTAACATTCTTTTTAAAGCTCAGCCATTCTTATTCCCCTCACCTCACCATCTGGCCTCAAGGAGTCGAGACCAAAGGAACGAGTGACGGTCGACATACGAATTAGTGACTGCATTTGTTCTTACGTGTGAGTGTGAGTGTGTGTGTGTGTGTGTGTGTGTGTGTGTGTGTGTGTGTGTGTGTGTGTGTGTGTGTGTGTGTGTGTGTGTGTGTGTGTGTCTTAATAAGTCTTGCCTCGGAACCTTCAGACTATTATACAAATTTCTTACATATTTTGGCTCCTTGAGGTTACCTTGAAGTGCTTCCGGGGCTTAGCGTCCCCGCGGCCCGGTCGTCGACCAGGCCTCCTGGTTGCTAGACTGATCAACCAGGCTGTTAGACGCGGCTGCTCGCAGCCTGACGTATGAGTCACAGCCTGGGTTGATCAGGTATCCTTTGGAGGTGCTTATCCAGTTCTCTCTTGAACACTGTGAGGGGTTTGCCAGTTATGTCCCTTATGTGTAGTGGAAGCGTGTTGAACAGTCTCGGGCCTCTGATGTTGATAGTTCTCTCTTGAACACTGTGAGGGGTCGGCCAGTTATGTCCCTTATGTGTAGTGGAAGCGTGTTGAACAGTCTCGGGCCTCTGATGTTGATAGAGTTCTCTCTCAGAGTACCTGTTGCACCTCTGCTTTTCAACGGGGGTATTCTGCACATCCTGCCATGTCTTCTGGTCTGTTATAGCTACGTTTGAAACTGTTTAAGGACACAACTTTCAATACATTCATTCATGCACGTTTCATTTATTGACTTCCCTTACATTATGTTTTATTCAGGTATTTAGATTTCATCTGTGTCCCCTTTCTCATAGCATTTTCATGTCTGCCTTGTCTATTCCAGGAGTATTTGTTATGTAGTGATCATGTGTCACCTATTTCTTCTTTCCAGACGAGAGATTAAATTCAATTTCAACAATCAGCCCTGTTAGGGTTTTATATTTCTGGACTTTTTCAACTTCATTTTTGTGCGTAAGGAAACAATGACTCCATGCTGACGCCGCATAATCAGAATTAGTCTGACATACGTGGAAGGCAAAGTCCTCTGACTCCACATGTTCATATTCCTAAAGTGCATATGCAGCTGATATTCCTTTGAGGTGAGCCTCTTGTGAAGACTTTCATGTGGCATCAAACTCCAGGTATTCAAGTATTCAGGTACTCAAAGCCGACTTTTCCATCCTATTTGGTAACTTGTTTCAGGATCTCAGCCCCAAGCAACCAGTTTTTTTTTTACCATGCACTTAAAGTTTAATTCTAAAAGACATGTTTTAGGAATTTTCTTATATTTATCCAAGCAATCCTCTTGTTTATTTCAGTCTTATGAAGTCGCTGCCACTAAGCAATGTTGAAACTTGTTTATTTGTCATTCTCTAACCTGCTTTCCTTTACTATATTACATCCAATATATTTTCCTTATATAAAAAATTTAAATGCAATTTCCTGCTATGATGGGTGCAAATGTTTTAATTCAAAATAATCTATATAAATAGAATTGTTTGCGTCTGTCTATTTGAGGTTCGAGATCAGACTTTTGGGGCTGGCCACGCCCAAATTTTCTCAGTAATTGCTGTTGGGTACGTGCACAACATGGTCAGATTGGGATAGGGATAAAATAAAAGATTGCCTCATAGCATTGAGATAACACTACCCCATTAATAAATTTTGTAATATCATATTAAATGAGCCCGGAATGTTTTTTTTAATTCTTTTATTTTGCTGGTTTTATTGTATATTGTTAATATGCATAGAACTCATGTCCACAAAGTTCATAAAAAACTCTAACTATCATACTTTGCCTGTAATTAGCTGAAATGTATTGTTGCGTTGTGGGAGTTGAAGGGAAAAGGAGTACAGCTAATACATGCCTACTCCATGTATTAGCTCCACCGCCCGACACCCGACCTCCAACACCAGCTACCCGACCTCCAACACCAGCTACCCGACCTCCAACACCAGCTACCCGACCTCCAACACCAGCTACCCGACCTCCAACACCAGCTACCCGACCTCCAACACCAGCTACCCGACCTCCAACACCAGCTACCCGACCTCCAACACCAGCTACCCGACCTCCAACACCAGCTACCCGGCCTCCAACACCAACTACCCGACCACCAACACCAGCTACCCGACCTCCAACACCCGAATTAAAATTAAACCTCGTGTCACAGGAAGACACAAAAGTTTGAATAGGCATGATTACGACATATAAAATTACAAGAACAATTGATTGGGTAGACAAGGACAGACTATTTAGCACGGGTGATACGCACACCATTGTTCCCTTATCCACTTTAATTAATTTCACCTCTCATGTAATGTTGACCAGACCACACACTAGAAAGTGAAGCGACGACGACGTTTCGGTCCGTCCTGGATCATTCTCAAGTCGAGAATGGTCCAGGACCAATGCTTCGACGAAGAATGGTCCAGGACGGACAGAAACATCGTCGTCGTCCCTTCACTTTCTAGTGTGTGTGGTCTGGTCAACATACTTCAGCCACGTTATATAATTTGTGTCTCATGTAATCTCCACTTACAGCCTCTCTCAGCTAGTCTGGTTCGTTAATACATGTCGTCATCTGAGCTGTGTAGTGATGGAGTCGTTAACTTAAACATTGATGAATAGCTCTTCACCCGCGTACATTTACGAAGTCACGAGTTTCCATCAGCTGATTAGCATAAACAACCCCGCAATATCAAAAAATCTTGAGGTTATCTTGAGATGATTTCGGGGCTTTTTAGTGTCCCCCGCGGCCCGGTCTTCGACCAGGCCTCCACCACCCCAAGGAAGCAGCCCGTGACAGCTGACTAACACCCAGGTACCTATTTTACTGCTAGATAACAGGGACATAGGGTGAAAGAAACTCTGCCCATTGTTTCTCAAATGAGTAGCGTTCATGACTCAGGTAGACCTCGCTGCATATATTGACACAGAATAATAATAAAGAAAATACAAATAATTTCTATATTAATATTATTATTATTATTAATTCTATTAATAAAAATATAATAAAAAATATATATATTATTAATATTAAGAAATGCTAATTATATTATTAATTAAAATGTAACAATCACTTTAGTTTTAGATGTGCTAGAAAACAAACCAACTACAACAGATAACTACAAAATGGAATAACTAGTGACTAGGATAAATAATTTACAATTCCAGCTAATTTTTTCTAACCCCTCTAGGATCATGCCGCACATTAAATCAGCCCAATACTGCCACTGAAGCTGCAAGATTTGCATTCTTTCGAATGTATACAAAGCCACGAGGTTTCGTCAGCTGATTTATAACGTAAACAAACTACAAGAGATGAGTTGATAGCCTGGAGAGGCGGCTCTCGTGGACCCCCGTTCCCTTCACAATAACATCATGTCATGGGACGTCTGCACTTCTTGCTGACGTGAGGCCAAGGAAATGAGCCAGGGTGTTTGTGAAGGGTGAAGGGTGGTGATGGAGAGGTTGTGTGTTTGACAGGTGAGATGTGGGAGGTTCGTGTGTGTGTGTGTGTGTGTGTGTGTGTGTGTGTGTGTGTGTGTGTGTGTGTGTGTGTGTGTGTGTGTGTGTGTGTATTTACCTAGCTATACTAGCCTAACTGTGCTTGCAAGGGATGAGCTTCGGCTCTTTGGTCTCGCCTCTCATTTCTTAATCAACTAGTGTACCTGACTCTTAATCCACCTGAGCCTATTGGGATATATGTCATATTTACATTTGAAGCAGTGTATGTTGTTTGTGTGTGTGTGTGTGTGTGTGGGGGGAGGATAGTGAGAGCTAGTGAGATAGTGAGAGTTGGATGGTGTGTTGTAGGGATAGGACAAGAAGCAGTGTTTCGCTGTGTAGGTGTGGGGGGGGGGTGTGAAATGGCAGGTGTGTGTTTATAGTTGAAACAGAAGAATGGGAAAACGGTATGCATTTGGGATGGAAAACGGTTTAGTGGATAGTCTGGATGGGAGAGAGTGGTAGTAGGTTGGTGAGCAAGTGGAACGGGTGACAGGGGTAGCAGGTTGGCAAGTGGAATAGGAGATGTTGTAGGGGGATGTGTGTAGGTGGGATGGAAGAAGGGAGGGAGGATGAGATTGCCGGCGGGATGGGAGAAGGAGTAGTTAGTTGGTGTGTCAGTAAGATGGGAAAGGAGTATGTCGATTGGTGAGTACCTTGATGTAATCACCTAGTAGTACTGTTAGAGTCGAGTGTAGTCTATTAAGCCCACATTCTGTCGAGCATTAGTATCTTAATGCAATAAACATTCTCGTTTCTAGTGACTGTTATAGCTGTGTATAATTAGTTTTGATAACTATTTCATCTAATCATTTCCAAGCATTTTCAACGGCTTGTATAAATGTTCTTTCTGATTCGTTACTCGTTTTTCAATATAATGAACATTGCTTCCATGGTTAATTAGTTAATTTACCTTAGAATCTTGTATGCCACTAACATGTTTCCTCTGTACTTTCTTGCTCTTGTCAAATTACTAAAAAAATGTTCATCCAGTGTCTCGTTCTTATTGTTGGGAGTTCAGTGTCGAGACAGTGCTTAATAGTGGCGGTTGCACAGATGGAAAATACCGATCCCATTGCTCCTTTCTCAAGGAGAAAGGAGAATCTAAAGGTTTAGATTCTCCTCTTGCATTGTATCCATATTTCGCTTCCAGTAGATAAACGACATATGAGATATAAACAAGTAGGATGTTGTGAAGACTAATAATAATAAACAGCAGCTCCCCCTATGACTCTCTAATATCTCCATTGCTCAAACAAGTAAGTATTAGCGATAAGACCTACATTATACATTATATCATTATACATTATATAATTATACATTTTAAGGATTTTTAATGATTTATTGTAAATATATAGCTCTTGAAATAGAATATTCTCTGTAACTAGATGACACTGTAACTATAAGGTGTGAAGGTTAGATGAAATTGTTGATGTAATAATCTCCATTGAGGTCTGATAAAGACCTTTTGTGCTCTTTGTAATTCTTTTTGCGCTGCCGCTCACAGGATGAGTATGGGGTGCACAATAAACTAGCCGCCTCCGGCGGCAACAAATAAAAAGTCTATACTTTAGAGAGGAGAGTTTACAGAGATAGAACGCGACGTAAACGCAAAAGGCAAAATTTGACTTTGAATTTAAAACGCGAGAAAATGCGAATCAGTTTCGTATGTCATCTGGCTAAACTACTTTCACATAAACGTTATTTCCATATTTTTTTCAATACCAGGAGTTGCTTCTTTCCTCTTCGTCTAATTTAAGGTCATTTTTTAGTATCTTTTTAATGGATTTTTTTTATTATTTTTTGTAATACTCTCCGTTAAATACTTGCAAGAACTTTTCCAACATATATTTTGCTGCAACTGAAGTTCATTAGATGGGAAGCTAATCAGCATTTTGTAGATGAATTTATAATTCTTATATACGCCTTCTACATGTTTAAATCTCTGCATGTTAGCTTTAACCCGGTACATGACAAGTATCAATAAATTAACAAGAAAAATAATAATAAGAATGCAGGCGATGAGTCACAATAACGTGGGTGAAGTATGTTGACCAGACCACACACTAGAAGGTGAAGGGACAACGACGTTTCGGTCCGTCCTGGACCATTCTCAAGTCGATTGGCAAGGTCCTGGACCATTCTCAAGTCGATTGGCAACGTCCTGGACCATTCTCAAGTCGATTGGCAACGTCCTGGACCATTCTCAAGTCGATTGGCAAGGTCCTGGACCATTCTCAAGTCGATTGGCAAGGTCCTGGACCATTCTCAAGTCGATTGGCAAGGTTCTGGACCATTCTCAAGTCGATTGGCAAGGTCCTGGACCATTCTCAAGTCGATTGGCAAGGTCCTGGACCATTCTCAAGTCGATTGGCAAGGTCCTGGACCATTCTCAAGTCGATTGGCAAGG